TATCATATTAATTTAATAATAACAATGGGTTGTGATTTCCACAAACCCTGACCATGCTTCGAGGACCCCACTTTTGCGGACCACTGTTTAGCCTGTTATCCGCTCTAACACAAAACACGTTGTGCTTTTTATCCTTTTATGGTTGCCTTTCATGTTAGTGGCTTGTTGAAGTGATGACTTGGGTCAGGTGTATCTGGGGATATACTATAAACAGCGCAGCGCGTGAGGCCTAGAGAGTATGGAAACATTGCATTACATACGATGCAGGTTTGTGTCTTTTAATTCATTTAACTATTAAGATTAACCGTCTTTACAGTGTTCAGGGTTTGTTTTGTCAGTGTGCACAGAAAACCCTCTTGACTGTTTTATCGGGCGCACGCTGAATACCTCAGCTGTTTGTCCTCGAGACTGCGCGCGCGGGCTAACCATATGTGAAGTCTTGTAACGTCGCCTTCATCATACCTTCCTTCTCCTCCATGCCCAGAATCAAAAGCGAAACACTCTTTTGTTCAATTAAATTTAGGAAGATATTCTCACGACAGAAGATACATACTGGCCGTGTGTTTCCAAAAATGGGGAAAAAATAAAGCAACTTCTGGCCTGGTAGCGGTTCTTAAAATAATTTGGGCCTGAATTTAGCTATAAAAACAAATTAGACGAACAAAATTATCTGAATTATTTGATACTTCTCATATATTGTGAAGAAAACAATCTTTACATTTACAACTTTGCATGTACTTTCACTAACAGCCAATGGCTAATGTTAGAACCTTACTCAGGTAGTGCAACATTAACCTTGCTGGCTAGTTTATTATAATATAAGCATCATTGCCAAGTTTAAATTTTTTCCACAATTAATATTTAAAAGTGTAAGATCTGGTTATTTATTATAGCCGTGGAACATTTCATTTTTCCAACATGGCACTGACAGAACACATTAGATCCAAGTTGAACTTGATTTTTAGTTATGAGGTTTGGATGAAACCCTTTCACTTCCAACTGGGTTAAAAACAACCCAAATTGGGTTATTTTTAACCAATGGTTGTGTAAATATAGGACAGAACACATTTTGGGTTAAATTAACCTATCAAGTTTGGTAGTTAATTTTAACCAAACAAATGGGTTGATTTTCAACCCGAAGGACAGTTTAATTTTTTACAAAAACCCTGTGTTAATTTTATTTCATAAATAGGTTAATATTTTCAGGGTTATTTTTTACCCTTTGAAAATGTCAAATATACCACATTTTAAACAAATATGTCAACATGGTATCTCCTTTATTTATACACAAGGTGTTCAGAAATGTAGTGCTAGAGCTGCAAAAGTGGTGTTTATATATAGACTTTGAAGTAAATGACTCAAATAAGTCATATATTTAGGACGAAAACATCAGATTTTGAGCAAAGGGGATGTTTAAAACATCCAAAAAACTGAGTAACCAACTTACGATCCAGTGAGCATTACAAACAAGTAAGCCAAAGTGATATAAACATCATTGCCAAGTTTCAATTTTTTCCACAATTTATGAAGTTGTGTCCAGTAGGAAGCCAGCTCCTTCTCTTCTCTTGCACAGTGTTTCTATAAAGCTATTGCTGATCATTGAAATTTCACCCAGGCTAGTTGTCATGTCTGATGTAAATAAGCTATGACATTATTAGAGAACTTTAATTAAATTCAAAATGCATCGTTTTTAATGTTTTCGTTTCATAGACAGTAGATTGGTTGGCTGTACAACCATGACAAAAAGACACCAGTCAAAAATTAGGCCTGACTTTGGACCTTATGTAATCCATGGCCTTCATTATTCATATATTTGTCCAGAATTTATTTACTGTGATTTATCAAGACACCCTCAACCCACTCAGGTACATCTCAGCGTGCTTTAATGTTTCAAAATAGCACTTGTACTTTGCAAGCTATTTCTGTACATTAGAGACACAGATACAGTTACATTAGACACCACTTTAGATACATTACTGTCCAACATGGTGGCAACAGTTAAAAAAAAAAATCTTTAAAAGCCCACTTTTATACCACTTTGTCTTCATTAATAAACATTTTGAAATGTAATACACTTATCTATTGTAGTCTACTCTGTTACCACAGGATAGTGGATATGCTTTTGCACTGTACTTTTGGAATCATTGTCAGTAACATTATATATGATATACTGTATTGATCTTATATTTCCAAAATAAGTTAAAATCAGTCCTGGATGTGGATAGAATGTAGGCATTGTCAATCTGTTACAGCGTCCTACCTCCTGAAACACAGCTGATGATTGATGGCCTACTATAAAGTGTTTGGACTCCTTATTGTATAAGTCTAAAATTCAGTTTGGTCTTGTTTATATTGTTTTCCTTGATGTTCCCTCATCATTAGCAATTTCACATAAAAGTTTTGCTTTTTATTAATGATGTGTCATGGATTTCATATTATAGTGGACACTAAAAAATACAGTAAATCTGGTTTATGGAGATTTATAAAGATAATGAGGAGAATTTACCTAATACAATACATTTTTTTTAACAAAATGCCATAATAGTGTAACATTTTATTCACCATTGTTCTTTACCAGTGTAACAGTGTTGTTCCATTTTTCAAATTAATAAATATTCAAAATAAAATCAAAAGGTTAAGGAACAATAGGGATTTGGGGGGTCTATGTGGGGAAAAAAGGGCAAAGTAGAGGGGTAGAAATAGGTTATAGGTTGCTGTATAGTTGAGGTGGGCATTTAAAGGGTTAAAGATTTTTCTTCCATAAAATGACTAGTTCTGTCATCCAAGAGCTGTGGGCTGTGAAATGCTGAGAGTCCTAAAAAACACAACACATTATGGTGTAATTAAATTATTATAGATAAATTAACACTATTTGATGTTTTCTTGGTGTCTTATTTAACCTGGGACTGTGAAAACAATAGCCTTTTTCACTGGATTGCTTTGATCTTGTATCAGGGATCCCTTTTTTGTTTTGTTTTTTTAAACTTAAACTCAGCCAAAATTATGGTTAAAAAAAATTCCCTGACAGTTCAGATCTTGTTCCCAGATCAGTTGTGGTTTGTTCAATATGGATTCCTTGGTCAAGGCCTAGCTCTTCTTGTCGTGCCTGTAACCCAGCTTTGGCTGAACAAAAGACACTTAGCCAGGAAGCGTTTCGGCCAATCAGCTGCGACCTTCCAGCTTGCCAGCGAGCATTGTCCAATCACAGCACGCTTTTGGCTCGGCTGTCTCGGAGTGCCGAGGCTGTGCTTATGCAGTGAGAGAGGGCTGAGGGTTGTCCTCCATGTTTTAATAAGCATTGACATTAGACTCAAGTCTTTTCTAAGCCATGCATCCACAGAGGTAAGTTTGCTTTCTATGCTTTCACTTTCTGTTTAGCAAACCTGCTAATGTTGTATAAGTTGTTAACACAGAAATATTATGGTTTTTATTCTGAGGGGGGAGGGAGGTGGCAAAATCCTATTCCAACAGCACAGAGCTGAATCCTGACAGGAACAGGACTCCACAATAATGTGTCTCATTTTCTGTCTGTCTTTGCTGTGTTTATAACCCCTTGTTAAGCTGTTAGTGTACCCAGGACAAGAATGGACTTCTGTGCTTTCTCTCAGCTGTAACATTGATCAAGCAAGGAGAGGAATACAGGAGTGGTGTAGGCCAAGGCTCTCAAAATGGAAGGCCCTGTGTGTGTAAGGGGAAACCCAGGCTGCAGGATGGCTTGCATTATAAGCACTACTGCAAGTAAACAGCCGTTTATTGCTGATCTAGTCTTTTGGCCTAGTAATACAAAAAGAGGAGAAGTGGTTTGCTGAATTGATAATGGCCTATATTTGACACATATAACTGTATCTAGTGTAAGGACCTGGCTTTCTGTACTGTGCATTGATGGCACTGTGACATTGTTTTTTTTTTTTTTTTTTTTTTTTTGCATGGAGAGGAGTTGGCAGCCATTTCAGGTAGCTTCCCTTTTTCACCCATACAGTACAAGGGCCTGGTCCTGTATACTTCACACACTCAGTGAGTTCAAGAAGCTGGAATATTTTGCTTAGAAGCTCTATTATTAAGCTGAACTAGAGTGGCCATGAAGAGGCAGCTTATGTGTCACAAATTAAAGATATATTACATTCAAAATGTATCACAATATATTGTGTCTGGACTTTGGAATCAGCTAGGATTGCAAAATATATCAATTGTTAATCAGATATATCATTGTTTTAGTCCTAGGCTGCAACATGCAACATGAAATTTTTAGTTTTGTTGTGTGCTGAGATTTTTTAGTTTAACATAACAGTGTATTTCAACGAATCGTGACATTCATGTGCTCTAGGATACAATTTTGGTTTAAAAAAAAAAAAATGAATACTGTAGCCGAATCAAAATCACATCAGCAATGTGCTTTTAATATACTGCTAGGAATATTGCAATATGTAGAGATAATACTGGATTTTGTCCACATTTTGTACCATACATTGTAACATATGGTATGTTTATATGAAAAGAGTTTGGAATGATTTAAACCTCTCTTGTCAGAGCTCCTGGATCGAGGAAGCAGATATGAGTTGGCTGTGTGTAGTACTCTGCTGAAATAATGTGAGCCTGGATACATGTTCTTCAAGAACAAAATCCTGGCTTGAGCTTTTTGTATTCGATCCACAGATGGCCAAGCTACTCAAATTCATGTTGGTTGTTTGACAACGCCTCCACTGCCACAACCGATGAAAGCCTTCTGATTAATTCTGACTAATCATCTGACCTTACCTGATTAAAGGCTGTGTTTATTTACATTTTAGATCCTCTCAAATGTAAGCAAGGAGTTGATTAATTGTTTAATTATTTGTGGTTGTTCACAATTGTCTGGATTTTGTTAGTGATCCACTCAATTGACCCATTGGCAACAGTGACAGCACAACATTCAGTTCATAGAGGAGGTTGTTTTGTGATTGTTTCGGGCAAAAATGGGTTTTTTGGGGTTTTTTGTGGAAAATTTGGCAAAATTGCAACTGTACAAAATGGTTAGTGGTTAGCACGTGTGCCTCACATTTCCAGGGTTGAGGGTTCGATTCCTGCCTTTGTGAGTGGGGTTTGCATGTTCTCTCCATGCTTCGGGGGTTTCCTCCCCCAGTCCAAAGACATGCATTGTAGGCTGATTGGCATGTCCAAAAGTGTCCGTAGTGTATGAATGGGTGTGTGAATGTGTGTGTGATTGTGGTATGCAATGGAATGGCACCCTGTCCAGGGTGTCCCTGCCTTGTGCCCCATGCCCCGTGGGATAGGCTCCAGGTTCCCCGCAACCCAGTAAGGATAAGTATTACAGAAAATGGATGGATAGGATGGGTTTTGCACAGACTTTTGCAGTGATGTTTGTTGGTAAATGAGACCTTTTAGCTGTACTCATGTTCGACGCATGTGAATCGAAGAGGACTTTGGCTGAATGCGTGTTGCGATAACGTAACATGACGCATCTTGGCCAAAATCTGCGGAAAATCTTAGGTAATTGTGAAATTACCTAAGGAAAAGAAGTTTCCTTGATTTTGCGTTCATTTCCGTAATAGCAAAATCCTGGACAACAATATGTTGAAGATAATTATTATTCAGTGCAGTTTGGGCTGCATTATTTGACAAAATCAGTGATCAGTTATGAAATATCAACATAAATGTTTATTGTTGATGTTTTGTTGTCTTTAACAACAACACAAACGCTCTACAATCCGAGACTGAATACTTACTTTTCTGTACAATACAATTGGATAAAATGTCATGTCAGTAGCATTGATAATATTGCTAATTCTGCCTACATACTTTTCAGTTGTTAGGTCACATATAAAGGGCTACGTGATGTATTTAGTGCTAACGTAGCACTATGGTTACCCTGCGTCTGATTCTGTATTAGCTTCGAGGAGAAAAAGGAAGTGGTTTCACAATATTTTGGCTTGTTTGTAGCCCCTGGCAAAACGGTTTCAAAATATTTATAATACTAAGGATCTGTCATGTCGTAAGTTTTTACCAGTGGTTGATTCTATGTGTATATATATATATACAGTGGTGTGAAAAAGTGTTTGCCCCCTTCCTCATTTCCTGTTCCTTTGCATGTGTGTCACACTTAAGTGTTTCGGAACATCAAACCAATTTAAACAATAGTCAAGGACAACACAAGTAAACACAAAATGCAATTTGTAAATGAAGGTGTTTATTATTAAAGGTGAAAAAAAAATCCAAACCATCATGGCCCTGTGTGAAAAAGTGATTGCCCCCCTTGTTAAAACATACTATAACTGTGGTTGTCCACACCTGAGTTAAATTTCTCTAGCCACACCCAGGCCTGATTATTGCCACACCTGTTCACAATCAAGGCATCACTTAAATAGGAGCTGCTTGACACAGTAAGGTCCACCAGAAGATCCTTAAAAGCTACACATCATGCCGAGACCCAAAGAATTTCAGGAATAATTGAGAAAGAAAGTAATTGAGATCTATCAGTCTGGAAAGGCTTATAAAGCCATTTCCAAAGCTTTGGGAATCCAGCGAACCACAGTGAGAGCCATTATCCACAAATGGCGAAGACATGGAACAGTTGTGAACTTTCCCAGGAGTGGCCGGCCGCCCAAAATTACCCCAAGAGCGCAGCGACGACTCATCCAAGAGGTCACAAAAGACCCCACAACAACATCCAAAGAACTGCAGGCCTCACTTGCCTCAGTTAAGGTCAGCGTTCATGCCTCCACCATCAGGAAAAGACTGGGCAAAAATGGCCTGCATGGCAGAGTTCCAAGGAGAAAACCACTGCTGAGCAAAAAGAACATCAAAGCTCGTCTCAATTTCTCCACAACACATCTTGATGATCCCCAAGACTTTTGGGACAACATTCTGTGGACCGATGAGACAAAAGTGGAACTCTTTGGAAGGTGTGTGTCCAAGTATATCTGGCGTAGAAGGAACACTGCATTTCATAAAAAGAACATTATACCAACAGTAAAATATGGTGGTGGTAGTGTGATGGTCTGGGGCTGTTTTGCTGCTTCAGGACCTTGAAGACTTGCCGTGATAAAAGGAACTATGAATTCTGTTGTCTACCAAGAGATCCTGAAGGAGAATGTCCGACCATCTGTTCGTGTACTCAAGCTGAAACGAACTTGGGTTCTGCAGCAGGACAATGATCCTAAACACACTTGCAAGTCCACCACCGAATGGCTGAAGAAAAACAAAATGAAGACTTTGGAGTGGCCTAGCCAAAGTCCTGACCTGAATCCTATTGAGATGTTGTGGTATGACCTTAAAAAGGCCGTTCATGCTCGAAAACCCTCTAATGTAACTGAATTAGGACAATTCTGCAAAGATGAGTGGGCCAAAATTCCTCCAGGACGCTGTAAAAGCCTCATTGCACGTTATCGCAAACGCTTGGTTGCAGTTGTTGCTGCTAAGGGTGGCCCAACCAGTTATTAGGTTTAGGGGGCAATCACTTTTTCACACAGGGCCATGATGGTTTGGATTTTTTTTCACCTTTAATAATAAACACCTTCATTTACAAATTGCATTTTGTGTTTACTTGAGTTGTCCTTGACTATTGTTTAAATTGGTTTGATGTTCCGAAACACTTAAGTGTGACAAACATGCAAAGGAACAGGAAATGAGGAAGGGGGCAAACACTTTTTCACACCACTGTATATATATATATATATATATATATATATATATATATATATATATGTGTATATTGCTAAAGGATTGACAGTGGTGTCTTCACGTGAACAGCTCTAATGCTGGAAAAGTATGTAGGAATATAGGAATGAGTGGAGTTTCCACGATGTTTTTTTTTTTTAGATATATGCACATTTATATGAACGTTGCATGGCGTGTTGATGTATTTTCTACATGTATATATTGCTAGATCCAAAATGATTGAGGTTTGTGTGTGCAGACACTGATACTTCTACTTCAAAAATATAAAATGTACCAAATATGCAGTCAATAGTAAATTCACCAAAGAAGCTACAGCTAACTATAGTACTATAGATATTATGGAAAATAAGTCGACATGGGCTTTAAGTTGGAATATTACTTCCTCACCTCAGAATATTGTAATGTTTTTCTATTCTCATGGATGCTTTGTAATGTTCTCGTTAGGTCCGTAGCTTTCGAGGAACAAAATAAATGGGATTGTTGTATAAGCTTCAAATGATTACCATATAGAGAAATAATAGTCTGTTGATTAAATGAAAATGAAGTCTATTTCGTAATACATATAATCTATATAAAAAAAAAGCTGTAAAGGTGGCATCTATATAGATACCATGTGTATTTATTGTATGTGCAGAAGTCATCTGAACGAATGATAATACTGGGTATTTTTCCTGAAAGGCAGATTACATTTTCCTTTTGGTTCTTTGTCTCTATGTGGGAGTGAGTGTGTGTGTGTGTGTGTGTGTGTGTGTGTCCGAGGCCCTCACTGCATTCTTGCCGGCTGCTCTGCTGGCAAAGTTTGCGTTCTCACAGTTGCCACAGAAAGCTCTAGAAAATGGATGCCTGTCACTGCTCTTAGCAATTAGACAAGGCAGAGGGAAAGCAGGCAATCCGAAGCGTTTGTCCTAGCTCTACAGAGAACATGTACATGTTGCCTTGTCAGTGAAGGCTTAAAGAAGAAGTGGAGTGTGATTCGGAGTGTGTTTTTGATGGCGGATGGCAGCAGCAGCCCTCCCTGCATTGCAGCAGTGGATCAGAGCAGAGCGGAGAGAGCAGGGAGAGCCAGCGTGCCACACAGCGCCGAGCGCCCAATCACGCGCCTCCGTGTGGCTCTCAAACCAATCGGCAGCCCACAGCTGAGGTTAAAGATTGACAATTGCACCGAGAGCGGCAGGGAGAGAGAGCAAGGCCCTTCTGGAAAATTCTGCACCCATCTTTGTCTCATCCCTTACCAGCTATTATAATTGAAGGGGGAAATAAAAAAAAAACAAGGCCCTGCCTGAAGAACCTGTTCACTGTGCACATAAAGAAAAATAAGGTATGCTGTTATTATGCATCAATTGTTTAACTTGATTAAATGCGATGGTTGGTGCGATGTCAGTTTTTTTGGATGAGAAAGATGGTTATATGTGTGTCATGCTGCCTTGCCGTGTGAAGGGTTTGTGCCAGATGAAGTGGTGCTATTGATTTGCGAGGGGAAATGGCTGTTGCTGAGGATGGATGGTGCATGCAGGGTAGACGAGAGAAGGAGGCCAAGATGGCAAGTGCACAGCCTCTGCAAATGCTGTCTTGTGTGTGTGTGTGTGTGTGTGTACTTTCATTTTTCTCCCTCAGAAATGCAGAGGGGGAGAAAGAGGAAGAATCAAGCCAGCATAAGAAGGCAAAGATATTGCTGCCTCAACAGGAAGATGCTTATCCTTGAACTGGAATTCTGTAGCATGATTGTATCCAAAAGATCCTTATATTACCATGTTATTAACTGTAATCGAATGACATTTTTAAAATTCGTGAGCCATGGGGTGCTGAATGTGTAGAAATACACGTTGCAATGCATTTTTTTCAGACTGGACGACTGCACAGGCTCAGCTGAGAGCAGATGGTGGGTTTGTTTTGTTGATGGAAAGATCAGGGCATGGTGTGGAGAGGGGGAAACAGCACAAAAGCAATAGCTGACTGTCATTTCATAACCTGTGAAGTTATAGAGACAACACCGTTACGATCCTGGTTCGAACCATTATAGTGGTCTGGGAATTGGATACTCCGTATACTATTAATATAGCTCGCTACATTCGTTCACGTATAAGGCCTTCGTTCACTTTGCGTAATATATTTGTTCCCAAGAGGCCGATTCAGTGTTATATAAACTACCTTTGTTTTTCTCAAGCTGTCCTTGTGACTAGGCTGTGTTGGTGGTGTTCTAGAGTGAGGGAAGGCAATATCATCTCCACCCTCTGGATACATTATTCATTTTACAGAGGCAGTCGTTTCCTCCCTTGTCCACTCTCTGTTTACCTCCTACACTGATGATAGTTTTATAATGGTTAGTTGAATATGCTCATTTAAGCGTGCAAATCCACGTACAAACATGACTCCATGTCTAATTCTCAGGAATCCACGT